CTTTTGTGAATCATAAATTGTAGTCATGATGTTTTCAAATTTAGTGCCTAAATTCATATTGTAAATTTGTTGGATTAGGAATTGCCAATTTAGATTGTCAAAGGGCATCCAAGAATACAAGGGCTATTTGTTTTTCCGGATGTGCTTCGTAGTATTCCAAAACATTTAATACTATTCTAATTTGTCTATTAGGAAGAAATCCGTTTTGATCTTTATGTATATATTCATTCAATTTTTTTAAATCTATTTGCTATAATTGTGTTAAATATTTTATAATCAGTATTTAACAGGGAAATTGGTCTATAATTTTGTATAAGTCGTAAATCTGAATCTTCTTTCGGAATCAGTGATATCAGTGTCTCCTTCCATTCTTGCTGCTAGTAGGACCTCATTATATACTTCCACCATGAGAGGTCCTATTGGTTCTCCTATTTTCTTATAAAGTTCCCCTGGTATCCCATCGGGTCCTGGGGTTTTATTCTTTTGGTTTTCTATTGCTGCTTTTAACTCGGACCACGTGATGTCTCTAGTTAACATTTCCTTCACCTCCTCCTTGATTATTTTATCTTTAGTGATACCCAAATAGTTTCTTATCATGTCCTCATTTACCTCCTTCTTTTTATAAAGATCTTCAAAGAATTTACATGCAATTTCTTTTTTCTGTTCTATCCCTTGTTGGGCATCCCCATTCTCATCTATTAATTGATAGATCAGTCTTTTTTCTTTTTCTTTTTTAAGTTTATAGGCCAACCACCTTCCTGGTTTATTGGCCTGTTCAAAAAATATCTGTCTGGCGGTATTCAACTTTGAAACCATTCCTTCTTGTTCAATTAAATTTAATTTATGTTTAGTTATTATCATCTGTTTTTTCAATTTACAATCTTTGGGGGTGTTTTGCAGCTGAATGTCTAATTCTTTGATTCTTTGTTCTAATTTATTTTGTTGGACATATTTTTCTTTATTTCTTTTAGCAGTGTATGATATCGTTGTGCCTCTTATTATCACCTTCATTGTATCCCAAATATTCTGTTTCGTAGTTGCCTCATTATTATTTTCTTTTAAAGAATAGTCTAATTCCTTGTCAAGTTTATTCATAAATTCTTTCTCTTTAATTAGCTGTGTATTTAGGGTCCACCTTTTTCTTGGTTTCTTCCTGCCTTTCCACACTATCTGAATCGGGTTGTGATCTGCCCATTTGTTTGGTAAAATTTCAATCTCTTTTAATTCATTTACTAACTCACCATTCATCCACACCATATCGATTTGTGTCCATGATTGGTGAGGGTTGGAGTAAAATGTAAATTGCTTTTTCTCGGGGTTTAATTTCCTCCACATGTCTATCAAATTTAGTTCAATCATCATTTCTTCACATGTTTTTGGTAGTTCTCTTTTTTTCTTCTCCCCCCCCCCCCCCCCACTACTATGATCTTTCTGGTGGTCCAGAATAGCATTGAAATCCTCCAAGATGCAAATATTCCTTTTATCTAATTCCACTAATTTCCCATGTAATTGTTTAAAAAATTCCTTTTGGTTATCGTTAGGGGCATAAATTACCACTAGTAGAATTGGAATTGATTTAATCCAAATTTGTAACACCAGAATTCTTCCATTGGGGTCTATCCAAATTGGCTCTGCTTTCATATCGTCTTTCACATATACTGCTATCCCTTTCTTTTTCCTAAAATCTGCTGGCGACGTATACAAATTCCCTAGCCTGGGGCATTCTAGATATTTTTCTTCTTTCTTCCTTATATGAGTTTCCTGTAAACATATTATATCTGCATTTTGTTTAATTAATTTGGTTAATATTCTTTTCCTTTTTATCCTAGAGTTTAGGCCATTTATATTAATTGATAGTATTTTCTTTTTTTCATCCATCACCTAATTGACTCTTGCTCTTTGTCTTGTAGTTACTCCTGTCTCTCTTTGTGGCTGATTGTGCGTCTTCGGTTCTTCTCTCTCTTGATGTTGTTTGTTTTTCGAATTCCTATGATCCCCATCTCTATTTTTTTGATAGTCTTGGTCGTCTTGCGAATTCATTTATGAATGGTCTCTACTACTCAATTCTTCATGGCCTATCAATTGTTCATAGAATTCTTGGGCTTTTTCCATGGAGTCTACTTTAATTTTTCTTTCTTCGCTCTGGGATTAGCCATCTGAATATGATACCTTCTTGGTTTAATTGGTTCGCCAAAAATTTATAATCTTGCCTCTGCTCTTTCACTCTTCTTGGGATTTGTTTAAGCACCAAGATTTCTTTTCTTTTGTATGTAATTGTTACTTTTCTAGAAATTTTGTATATAATATCTTGCACTTTCCTTCTGGCAAATCTCACATGGACCTCTTTTGGATGTTTATGTCATCTTGCGTAATTTGTGCTCACTCTATATACTTCGTCTAACTCTTTCAGAATATCATCCTTATCTTTTTCCAATAGGTCTGCTAATATTCCTGCCATCACTTGTTCTAAGTCCTCTTCTTTAGATTCCATTATATTTTGGAATCTCAGATATGCTGCGGCCTTGTCCATTTCCAGATATACCAAGGAATCGTCCATTTCTTTACTCACATTTCTTAATTGCTCACCAACCATTTCCAGCTTTTTTTCCATTTGTTCCGTCCTTTTCTCAACCTCATTTCTTGTTGATTTATTCCTTTCTAGTGCTTGCTGTATTGTTTCAATTTTTTGATCCAACTTTAAAATGTCTAATTTCATTTCTGCCTTTAAGTTTCCCATCTCTTCTTTTAGTTCTTATAGTTTGTGTCAGCTCTTGTTTCGGTATGATTTTTCACCATTATTTCCTGAAGCTTCAGTATGGACTCTTGTAAAGTAAGAAGGGGCGATTGCATATTGGCATTTGTGATGGTAGGTTGTTTTTCTCCAGGTAGAGTTTCTTCAATTGTCTTTTGTGCCATCACTGAGGTTGATGGCATTGGAGTTGTTTGTATTGAAGAAGTCTTCTTTCCAGTTTTAAGCATTGTGTTAGTGACAGAGGTCATTTCTTGTAAAATTTGTTTTTGTTTTTGTATTATATTAAATATGTTGTCCCAAATTAACATTCACTATTGAGAAGTATCAACTATAAATGGCCACTACGCTAATTGATATGATATGTTACAGGATTAACCTCTCTTATCAATATATATATTCTCCAGAACACTTTTACAACTAATTTCTAAATCATCAGATATTTGAAGATCTTAATAATATATCAAATTCCTCTATTTAAATTTAAATACTATTGTCCTGTATATCTATAAGTGCTATAGAATCCCAAATCTCAAAATAGTGTTATGAAATAATATTTCAAATACTTACAAATCTAATAAAGCTATATCAGCTTTGCTATACAATAATTAATTAATCTGCAGTAATCACAATTATTCACAATTAATTATTTAATTCAATCTAATCATTGCCTATAATCAAATATCTATACCCAAATAATTAGTTATCACCTCCCTTTTTTTGTGTGTATAACCAAATATAAACTTCAATATTTACTAATATATCAATTAAATCATATATAAATTACATTAACCACATTCAAAAATCAGTTGAGTTGATGTCAAGAAATAAATATTGCAATCCGCAAAATTTAAATGCTTAGAGTGTCTTAATATGATTGTTCAGTTCTTCGAGATTCCTTTACCGAGCGCACCGGAAGCACAGAGTTGCTGAGTAATGTCTCTGATTCTACTGTCTCACCACACTTTCCGCTGTAACCATTTCTCCTTTCGTTTAAAAGTTTTACAAGTCAATTTTTAGATTCAAATAGTCTCTTTCTTTAATAAATCTTCTCCACTTACTACAGCTCCAGTCCAATAATCCAAAAAGAGACCAGTAAATTATTCAGTTTCTTTCGTGGAATATTTAAAGTTGTAGTTTAATTCCTTACTTCAAGTCTCCCCCCATGTCAAGTTCGTCCTTCCCCAAAGTCCACAATTCAAATCCTTCAAAGTTCCCTTAAATTAATTTGTTGTTCTTTCTTTCTTCTTCTTTTTCTCTCTCCCCCAATTATTATCAGTCTCTCAGATCCCTCAGATTCTCTTATCTTCTTTGTCCGATTGCTCTTCCGTCTCATGAGCCCTTTCGCTTTCGCCGCTGCTCGTATCTGCTCTGGCTGCCGTTTTCGGGCTTCGCTCCGACTAAGATTCTCCAATATTCAACGCTCAATCAGGATTGCAAATTCTTTCACTCGCACTCTTCATTCACCACAGTCTGTCACTCACTCGCTTCCTCTTGTATAAAATGATCAAGGCTTTAGGACCGCCATAGCTGACAGTCTCTTGTTGTCGGTCTCCATAGGGTTTCTCTACGTCGCGATGAGAATCGCCTTTTCCACACCGCGACTTGAGTCTCCTCACACTGGCACACTTCTCTACACCCCTAAGGGTCACTCCAACAGCAAGAGGAGATAGCATGAAACCCAGAGCGAGCTTTAGCACCTCCGTTCGCCCATATCTCGTCACCGGAAGTCCCTTTTCGAAAGTGTCGCTTTTTAAAGTCTGTCCTATGGGATCATTCTCGTGAGTGGCCCAGAAGAACGTTTCAAAGACGTCAACTTCATTAGCTAGCATGTTTCTTGATTCCATCAGTTATTCAATCCTGCCTCTGCTTGTTTGTACAACAGAAGGAAAGATTGAGAATTGGGAGGTGGGGATGGATGTTGGATTAGAACCACAGCACTGTTCCCTGTTAGGTAGTTAGATAGGTAGGTAGTTTGCTAGTTCCTCCTGGATATCAGCAGAGTGGTTCGATTGTGAAATGGGTGGCATATAAATTTTATAACTAACTAACTAACTAACTAAATATCCTCCTGGAAATATTTGAACAGTAATCATTACAAGTTTTAAATGTCTGATCGAGTGATTTAAAAATGAAATATGAGTCATTTCTTTCATGTGTGCTCTCTCTGTCTCTATGCATTTATGTAAAGATGCAAATAAATAGAAAGACCATGATGCTAACTTCTTTTTGTTGTTTGTTTAAATGTCAGATTTTTCTACTGGCTTGTCCACCTTGCCATTTCGCCATGATTCTGTTCAGGTAAGTGAGTTACCACCAATACAGTAGTTTGTTCAAATGATGACCTCGTCTGTGGCTTGGTTGCCTATACTTTACATTGAAGAACATTGACCATTTACAATTTGTATCTGTGTGGCTGAATGTCTATGGAAATTCTCAGCCGTCCAGATCATGGTTGTCCCAAAGGTGTTATTTTTTTTCTTCAAAAGGCAACTGGACTTTCTTCGTTTTTCCTTGAAGACATTTTGCTTCTCACCCAAGAAACTTGAGTCAGAACTGAAGATGAGAAGTGAAACATTTTCAAAGAAAAAGTCCAGTTGCCTTTTGAAGAAAAGGAAGTATCTTTGGGACAATCTGTGGCTATTCCTTTCTTTATCATTAGATTTTTATCCAGCCTTTCTACCTTCATGCTTTACATGTGGATCTGTTTTTTTATTTCCCCCAGATAAGGATTTTTTTCCTTCTGTTATATTAACAATTGCAATTGGGTTACACCTTTTGGAAATGTTTGAGATGGCAGCAGTACCCCAAAGGATGTCTCATGTTATAGGCTCTTCATTTGGATGCATCTGGTGGATGTACACAACAGGAATTCCCTTGGTTGGCATTCTGATGTGTGGACTGATGTCAGAGAGTAATCTAAGTAATTCATCTGCCATGGCAAGAAGATCTTATTATATAAAGAATCATAGAGTCATAGGGCTGGAAAGGACCTTGGAGGCCTTCTAGTCCAACCACCTGGCCAAGGTAGGAGACCTTATACCATCAGGGACAAATTGTTGTCCAGTCATTTCTTGAAAATTCCAGCAATAGGGCATCCACAACTCCACTGATTCACCATTCCCACTATCAGGAAATTCCTGCTTGTTTCAAGATTATATTTCCTTTGATGAGCTCATTGCTTCTTTTCCTGCCCTCAGGTGCATTGGAGAATAAGTCAGCCCCCCTCATCTCTGGATATTGGAAATTCCCTCAAATATTGGAAGATGTCTATCATGTCAGCCTAAGCCTTCTCATGCCTAGTTTCCTTAGCAATTCAACCATCATACGGTTTAGCCTCCAGACCCCTTATAATCTTTGCTGGTCTTCTCTGTACTCTTTCTAGGGCCTCGGCATTCAATTTAACTCCTTCTTGGAAAGGGCTGTTCTTTAAGTAGCCATCTTGCTAACTGAGCCTTGAATATAAAAGGTTGTAGTCTTTAGAAACAGGAAGAGCTGAAGTTGGATTATTTTGCCCTAATGTAGGGTATCTAGGCTTTGGAAGTTCTGGGAGTTGAAGTGCACCCATCTTAAAATTGCCAAGGTTGACAAATCCCGCCCTAATGTCAGCCTTTGGAGGCAGGCCAGGTCAAAAAACAGACAGGCTGGATTCCAGGAATGCTGCATTATTGTTCTAGGGCAGGGGTGGGCAAACTACGGCCCGCGGGACACATCCGGCCCATTGGTCATTTTAATACGGCCCGCCTCTGAAAAAGAAATATTCCTCTCTGAAAAAAAAATTGGGGCCGGCCAAAAGAGCCCCCGCGCCGCGCGCCAAAAAATTGCACACACAACACGGAGCTGGGCAGCTGCTTCCCTGCTAGCGGGGCCAAGGCCACCGCCCGGGGAATGCCCACTGCTTTCCCAAGCCAGGGCTGGGCGGTGGCGTATTGCCCTGCACCGCGTGGCCCCCACCTGGCAGCGTGCTTCTCAGCTGGTCTCCTCCTCCTCGGCCATACATAACAAACAGGCAGAGAAGGAGGAGACCAACCGGCTGGTTGGGGGAAGCTTTCTGCGCCGAAAGAGGCAGCTACTAATCTCCGGCTTTGCTCCGCTTCTCCAATGGTCTGGCACCACCCTGTTCTTCTTGTGCTGCAAAAGAGGCGGCTAATGATCTCCGGCTCCGCTCTGCTTCTCCAACATCCGGCGCCACCCTGTTCTGTGTCAGGCCCAGCAAGTCCGAGCAGCCGGCGCATAGAACAGGGCAGCGCCGGATGTTGGAGAAGCAGAGTGGAGCCGGAGATCATTAGCCGCCTCTTTCGCAGCACAAGAAGCCTCCCCCAACTGGCCAGGTGCTCTCCTCCTTCTCTGCCTCCTTCTCTGCCTCTCCCCTCTTGCTCCTCACAGTTGCCCTGAGCTGGTGCGGTTCTTTACTTGGGCAGCCAGACACCCGCAGCAGCGCCCGCAGCAGCAACAGGCAGTTCTGCCCGGGCTCTGCTCAGGTGTCCGGCTGGGGCTGTCAGGAGTTGCTACCGCCGGCGCAGCTCCGCGCGGCTCCAGTCCCGTGTTGCCTTGGGAAGGGAAAGGCAAAACCAGGAGCCACTGAGCCTGAACCTCCGGTGCCGCTGCTGCTGTTGCAAAGTACCGCCGCGGCTCTTCCTTTTTGCCTTTCCCTTCCCGAGGCAACGTGGGACTGGAGCCGCGTGGAGCCGTGCCGGCAGTAGCAACTCCTGACTCAGGGGGCCTCCGAGGGGAGGGGAAGGAGGAGAAGAAGGGGGGAAGGGGGGGGCGATTCCCAAAAAATCTTGTGCTGACCAGGCCCGTCTGTCAAATTTTAAAAGTGAATGCGGCCCCCCGAGCCAAAAAGTTTGCCCACCCCTGTTCTAGGGCCATTAATGAATCTTTTTTTATATATATGAATTTTATTTGAGTTTTCACAAAGACAAAAAAAATACAAATAAAACATCTTTTTTGAAAGTAGCGTAATCCCGGGTTACATTTCTTCGTACAGACACAAATTCAGGTTCATGCTCATTTTTATATTCTATTCCATATCTTATTACTATTTACATTTTCTACATAGCGTCTCCCCTCTTTTAATTTTCTCAATTTTATTTTAATTATCTCATCTCAATTCAAATCATTGTATTTAAATTTTTTGTCTGTCCTGTTTCAATTACCTATTATCTTTTCTCATTAAACAAAATTTCTCCTGTAATTACTGATTGGAGTATGACGCCTTTATATCTTTTCCCTAAAGTTGTAACATTCAATATAATACATAACTTCCATTCGGATTCTGCTTGGTACATTCTTAAAATACACACTGTATTCTTTAAAAAAATTATAAATGTATATAATTAAAACAACATTCCATTCCAATTCAATTCTATCATTAATATTAATATTCATTGAAGTCTTAACATCTTTAACATTACTTTTCAATTAAATATCATACTTCTATGGGAACAATTATAAGCTTTCCATAGTTAATTCCCCCCCTTTTAATTAATTAAAATGTTCCCGTTCCTTCCTAATTCAATTTTCTCATTTATTTTATTTCACGTATTTTATTCACAAACATTTCACTAAGTTACAGTAACTATTTTATCCCTCATTTTAATCATACATTGTTTCCAATTTTCTAAAGTTATTTCTATTACTGATATAACAATACAATCTTATGTACCTTTACAGAATCCCTTTTTCAGTTAGATTTTCACCAATTATCTCTAGATAGGTCCTGTTTCTCTATATTTCTCTATACCGGAGCAGGTCCTTTGTAACTTCTTTTCCTTCCCTTCTTCCCTCTCTTCTTCTCTCTCCCCTTTTTACCCCCTTGTCTCTCTACCTTTATTTCTCTCTTCTGTATTCCCCATTTCTGTTGCTTTCCAGTATTACACTTATTTTTCAAATTATTTTTCTTTTCTTTGGTTGTTTTTTTAAGTCTTAAATTCTCCATTCTCTTTCCCTCCTTTCCTTTTTCTTCCCCACATAGAATTACTTGTTCATTAAAGATGGCTTCTTCTTTGTCCTAGTCTTCTTGTTTTGCAGTCTTTTCTTGTTGTTTCTCATAGTTCCAAATCTCCATTTCTAAGAATTGAAAAACGAAGCCAAAAGAACCCTTCCCTTCTTGTGCATCTTCTTTGTACTTTTTAAGTTCCATTTTCAATTCATCCAGAAGTGGTGCCATTGTATACATTTTTAAACAACCACCCGATTGATTTTAGTCATTCAAATATAATAACCAAGAGTCCAAAGATCACCAAATAATCCAAATACACGCAAGCTGTTTCTTTTTTGCTCTTTTTTTCACTTTCTCTTCTTGGGGTTACTATTTAGTTACAAAGTTTCAGTTAAAATGTATCTTTTAGAAGTCTTGTTGAAGTTTTACTGTAGATTCTTTTTAATTCCAGGCAGTCTCCTCCCTCTTCCAGATCCTGCCCTTTTATTCTTTTTCTCTCCCTTCCTACTTATGAAAAAGAAAAATTTTAATGTCCAGAAATCTTTATTATCCTTTTGGCATTTTGGTTTATTTTTAGCTTAATTGCCTATTGATGTCAAAGTGGATTTTTCCGATTTCTTATTTAAGTCTCTTAGTTGTCAGTATAGGGAAGGAGAGAGAAGAAAAAAAAAGCCAAGCCTTTCCCTTTTCACTTTCCTTCGCTGCTTCTGACTCTTCTTTGGGAGCGATGTTATTTTTTGTAAGTTTAAATTCCAGGGTACCTTAGTTGTTGCTTTTACAATTTAACCCGGTCAGCCAAAACTTTCACTTCTTATCTTCCTCCTGCACATTCTTTTCCGGTCGAGTTCTTCTTTGAGGTGGCCATTTCTGACCACCGCTGCAACCGCCTTCAGGAAAGGGAATAATGGCCAGGTGAGGAGGAGAGATGCGGCTCTCCTCGACCCTGCTGGCAGTCTCCCCCCTCTTCACCACCTCTACGGGGTGGCTTAGCCCTGAAACCAGCCGGCTCGGGGCACTCTAGTGGCGAGCCCAGACCGAAACCGCGCACGATCATGGATTTCTGTCTGTCGCCGAAGCCCTTCAAACCGGAAGTCCCATTAATGAATCTTGAAAACCTTTTCATACCTTCACTGTATACTCTTTATACTCTTGGAGGATAAGAAGGTCAAGGAGGGATGGTTCTGAGTATCGTGGCTGAGTAACCACTTTACTTATCCTACCTGCTTCTCAAGGCTGGATCTAAATTCTTTTTTTTTTTTTTGAAACAAATTTTATTAATTTTAAAGACAAACAAAGCATCATTAAAAACATTAAACCTCTTTCCATTACAAATTCTTACAAGGCAGATAAAACACTGTTTTATACAATATACTTCTAATATATCCCATTTCCATTTAAATCAGATTTCTCATTATTTCTCTTTACTCTTATTCAATTACATTTCTTCTATATTTATCCATTTTATACTCATCATATTCATATTTCCCTCTGCCTTGTTTACAATTATTCTTCTCGCTCTCTCCCAAGGTTTTATTAAATCTCAATCAAACATACACACACAAAACACAAAAACATAAAACTTCTTTTTTAAAAAGTAGCTTGGCCCCGGATTACCTCTCTTTGTATGGACTTCAATTAAATTCATGTTCAACTTATATGCCATTACCTATCTTATTTACCCTTCTATATCTTCATTATAACTTCTCCCCGCTTTCCACTCTTCTTAATTCTATTTTATTTATTTCATCTTAATTTAAATCATTATATTTGTATCTTTTGTCCATTCTTTTCCAATTATCCATTTATCTCATTCATATTAGAAAAAAAAAGATTTCTCCTGAAATCACTAATTAAAGTATGATGCCTTTCCATCGCTCCCCTAAATTAACATTTAAGGTAACACCTAGTTCCCTATCTAATTCTGCTTAGTACATTCTACTTACTAAAATAGTAAATCCATAAGGTAATTAAATATATAATTAAACATTAAATCTCATAACATTCCAATTATCTATTGCAAAAACAAATACCATAATAATAAGTTCATACAAACATCCACACAATAGTCAATTAAACTCTATACTTAAACTAAATATTTTAAACATTCCTTTTAATATTTTATTAAATCTTAAAATCTATCATTATTAAACCTTTAATGTTTTAATCTTTACTTAAGTCTTATAAAATTCTAATTTTCTATTTCTAATACAAATACTACAATACTATCTTATGTACCTTGCAGAAACATTTTGAAACAAAGTTATGCATTACCCAGTATCCCTAAAAAAAGATTTCTTTTTCACATCTTGTTTTATACCTTTGTGGCTTTTCCCCCCCTTCTTCCTTCCTATCTTATCCCATCTGGTCTTTTTACCCCCCTTCGCTTCCCCTCTCTGTTGTATTTCTCTTTTCTTTTGCTTTCTAACATTGTATTGATTTTGCATCTTATTTTTCTCTTTCTTGGATGTTTTTTTAAGTCTTATGTCCTTTTTCCTTCCTCTCTTTTTCCTTCCTTTCTTAATCAACTTTGTAGACTCGTTAAAGATGGCTTCTTCTTCTTCTTCTTCTTCTTCTTCTTCTTCTTCTTCTTCTTCT